GGCGAACTCGTGCATAGCGACGGCGTGAACCGTCCCACGTCATAAGTACCTCAATTAAAATTAGGCAAGATAGAGAAGTTCCATCTCTTTGTTATAAACGAGTTAGTTGGTGTGGAGGACAAAACGCCTGTGTCTGGGTTACTTACGTACCTCCCTCAGGGCTTTTAACATAAGTGAAACGAGCCACCGCGACGTAACCCCCCCTCCCGAGGATCTTAGAGAAACCCTCAGACATGCGAGCCAATGTGGACAGTATATCGGGTCAATGTAGCATACAGAACGTCAAGTTAGTCTGTCACAACTGCACGGTACGTAAAACCAACTTTACGGCCCGCCAGATGCTTAATCACGTTCGACTGAGGAACTTAATAAGGTGGGTAGACAGTTCCGGTAAGAAAACCCCTTCAAAAGGCGAGTTTTCGAGAAGTTGAAACAACTGAAGGGATCCGGGATGATAAGGGAAAAAACAAAATATTGCATAAGGCTCACTACACTTCGGAGGGAGGGAGAGAGAGAGAGAGAGAAAAAGATAGGTGCTTTGTTATAACGCGCCTTTGAATATATGAGTCGGTGTGTAGACTAGCAGGTTAGCGATGTTCACCTATGCATCCGAGTTTATGTTGTCTCTTGTATCCGGGGCCTGTTGGACCTGCTGAGTACGGGAGGGCACGCGTCGTGTGTCGATCGTGCATCCAAATACGGAGCATAAGATTAATTAATTTTGAAAAGATGTTTCATGGCTGGCGAAAGACGTCGAACGCAGAACTCTGCCGGCGAGTGAAGACACGCCAAAATAAGATACCGACCTCTCTCCCCCCCCCCCTCCCGACAAACATTGAATTTACTACGTGCTTCATCAGCGCAGGAAAAACCTATTGATAAAACTTGACTCCTTTCTTTGTCAAATACCGTCTTAATAATGGTGAGCTTGACCGGTCAAGGCATTTCTTCTCAGGAGACGTATCTAACGACGAACTATACAGGTTTGATTTTCAACGACAGGATGGAACTCGCTTATAGTGAAGATAAAATAAAACACGCAAACACTCCTCAGCGGAAGTTCTTGTGAGCAAAAAGGCTCGAAAGGTTAAAAAAACATATCGACAAGGGTCATGTTGTGCACGATGTGTCCTCTAGCTCAAGGTAAGCATTCCGTGAACTCTTGATATTATCGCTCCATCCTCACCGAACTAGCGTTCCCACAACCGCACTGTAAACCAGCTTGAAAGTCAGCACTTCTACTGGGTTCAGACGGGAGGAGTCGATATCCACTGCAATTGAAAAAATTCGGGATGGAACGGCCAACCGGAACTTTTGTAGTCACTAGAAAACTTATGACTGCCGTCAGTAGCCGAGGCCTCTGCGACAGCACACTCCGGGTGAGCCGTGAAATCTGCCCCTCAGACGTGCCACAGATGCAAGCGCGCTCCGGTCCCCATGTCCCTTCGCGTTCACAGGTACATGCGACACATCCATCACTTGTCCAGTTATCACCAGTGATGATCCACCTCGCCCTGACACTAGTGCCGTCTCCTGATGAGCTGGCCAGTGTCATGGCTTCAGCCCACCTCTGGTCCAAGCTATTCCGATAGTCTAGCAGGCAGTCGATGTCTGAAAGTTGTGTTATAGGACTCGAAAATGGCTTTCCTCTTAAATTCGCCTACCTGGCTGGTGAGCTAGATGTGGGCTGCACTCTTTACATGTCATTGTCCCAATGAATGCTCACCTCCCAGGAATGTGTATTTAGGCTGTCGAGGGACTGATGGTCCTCAAACCCGTTGAACCGCTATTACGTCAGACCAAAACGGGGGTCATAATGACTCAGGGCAGATGGTTGTCGGGTTGCGGAAAGTCTGCAGGTATTCATAGCTGTTTTCGTGCATGCATGTAACATGCTCAGACGAAGGCCTGTAACATCTTTGGCAACTACGTCACGCCAGGAATCATGTGATCATGGCTCCCGAGAGACTGGAACGTACGCAAATGATAGTTCGATCGTCGTTGCCGAAGATGTCCACCGCGTCCTCCACTACGAGTTGGAGCAAGTACGGCGACTTGCGCGTGACTTAGTGCATTGTGAGAGTAGACTTGCGCAGCATCTACCGCACTCTCCCCTCCCCACCTGGGCCCGGTGTCAAGACAGAGTCAAGAAGACAAGAGGCGGGGAAGGCGCAAGCGGGTGGTGCGGTCGAACCCGCACCTCGGCGCTCCACTCCACGGCAAACACTTGATAAGGACCTTGACCAACAATAACAGAAAAGACGTGGATGACTGGACGGCCATGCACACGACCTCTATACTCAGCAGAGAGCAAGCACATCAGCCGCAAGAGAACCAGGTACCGGAAAATTGCCATCCCACACCAGGCTGCAAGCGCCATGGTTTGCTGGTCATGGCATGGCAGACGCTCACAAACCTTGCGACCCATACGCAAATACAGCCTTTAGGACGATCAATCACGAACGCCCGATAGTTCGACCGTCGTTTTTTGACAACGCCTACTGTGTTTCCCACATTAGGGTGGAAGTAGGCACGGTGGTTTGCGTGTAAATTAGTTTAATATCGGACTTTCGTAGTGTCTACCGCGCACTCTCCTCCCCCACCTGGATCCGACGTCATGACCGAGTCAAGAAGACCGCAGGCGGGGGAGGCCGCAGGTGGCTGGTACTACTTAACCCCGCATCTAGGCGTATCACCAAGCCATGATTTTATACAACGAAAATGGAGAACAGCAGATACCCCAATCAGCTCGCCATGAGCCTGCAACCGGGTCTGCCAATGCTGACATTGGTTATGGGTGCACATCTCCGATAACGCCTGCCAGAATCCGGTGTAGTCCCTGTGTTTAACCAGCCCATCTACCACATGGTCCGTTTTAAGTGCGTCTACGACCTCCATATTCACCCAACAGACTCATCGAGCTGACATCATCAAAGCGGACATACAAGCGGACTGGCCTCGCGTCTGTGGGCTCTGACTGCCACCGAGCTTCCGTACAGAAAACGTCCCCTACTGGTGTCTTTTCCCTTCATTCTCCAAAAGGGGACTGAGCCGTGAGTAGAATTACTACTTAAGCGCTACAGACCCACGCTAAACCAGTTATTACGCCCAATCTCACTAGCAGTCGGCGGAGACGCTCAGCCAGATCACCA